GAGGCAGGAGGATTGCTAGTTTGAGCTCAGCCTGTGTATTTAGTAACTTTCTGAGACTTTGTCTCAAAATAAAAAAAGAGGGTTGGGAATGTAGCTCATTGCAAAGGCCCTGAGTTCAAGCCCCAGTACTGCCAAAATAATTTTTTGAAAACAATTTTTAAAAGATGGAAATTACTGAATTGAGGTTTCCTAAGGAACTTGATAGTATGACCCTAAAAATTCAAATATATATTTATCATAACATGTAACATATTTAATAAATAAATTTCAGGTGTTTGCCAAATAGTTTATTTGCTAGAAAAATGAACATATACATAGTGCACTTATATAATTTCTGTCATTTGTACTTTCTTTTTCAAGTGGAATAAAAATAGAAATAATATAAAGTAGATAATATAAGAAATAATATAAGCATATGGTTTGTCTCCTGCTGCAGTCACTGGGAGCCTGTTTTTACAGTTAAAATATAACCCACTGTTTACTTTGGGTATTCTCTCTGGCCTGTTTCCTCACTTTTTTCGAATGCTGCTTATTACTAACTGCAAATCATTTGATATCCTTGTGAAATGAAAAAACCCAGCTCACTTGCCTTAACCCTGATGAGTTTAAGTGAATTAATGCTAGCGTTTTCATAGATGAATTCTTGTTCTCTTTTTGATGAATTCTTGTTCTCTTGTTCTCTTTTTATTACTTTGTGTAGATATTTGATTATGTCGCCACAATCAGTTTTCTGTTAGTTGAACAAGAACATCATGTCTGTTGTTTAGTATTTTTAGGGTATTACCACCATGTAAGAAATTAAAAGATATGAATGATCCCAAACTTTAAAGGCTTATAATTAAGTTAGATATTATAGCATGTTTTGATCTGGCACATAGTAGGTGATAAGTGAATAGAGTAGACAGTGGTGTTTCAGGTACTGATGATGAGTTGATTATAGAAAGTTTCAAAAGGATGAAGATAGGAGGCCTTAAATGCAAACAGAATGTTAAGATGCCGCCTTAGGTATAAAGCTAAGATACAGATACTCTTTGTGTTTATGTGGTAGCTTTTTAATTCATAAATTTAAATTGAGTTTACGTATTGAAGGCCCTCAGATGACAAGCTTCAGATTTTATGATTGGGAGCCAAAAAATAATTTTGAGCAGTGGTTGATGATAAACAGGATTTTCAAAATTTAATTCGGTTACTTCAATTTTTAAAATATATAAAGTAGTATTGAATATTATTTATCTTTCATAATGACAGATTAGGCAGGGCTAATGTCCCATGTATAGGTTAGAAATTTGATACCTTAAATGTGAATTTTTACCTTGTTTGTGGGAGGCAAAGTGATGGTTGTGTTCTGTAAGCAATAATGAACATCATTTTCCCAGCTGAATGAAAAGTTTGGCTTTCTGTAGAGGTCTCTAGCCTGGCAAGGACTAAATATTCTTGTAATACATGCACGCAAGTCTGTATGGATAATGAAAGTGGTGTGATTATCAATCCACTGTTACATGAATTGAAGCACAATGGAAAAAGCTCATGAGAAGCATTATAAAACAATTCCCATCTGTTAAAAAAAAAACATTAAAAGCATATGAAAAGTATGAAGAGAAATACAGGAAGTAGAGCAGCTTCCAAATCTTACGTGTTTATTATACTAGTGATAATTTATGAAAATTTTGGAGTTAGTTGAATGCTCATAAATTGACTAGGTGGGCCAAGACACATCCACCATCTGTCCTCAAACAGTTTATAAGGACAGAAAATAGAGGCACCTGTCTTTCACACAGACATACCTCTCAGCAGTTAAGATGGACCTATCTAAATAAAGCATCATTAAGTTTTGTTTTCTTTTCAGTATTGTTTGAGAGATTTATGCAGATGACAAGGCTAATCAGGTTATTAGATATTGTCTTGGTTACTTTTCTCTCTCACTGATGCAAAAAACTAATGCCCAAAATTAAGGAAGGAAAGGTGTATTTAGCTCACAGTCTGTGGAGGTTTCAGTCCATACTTGGCCGGCTCCAAGGCAGAGTGGCACATGGCAGAGGGCAACAGTTCATGGTGGTGGAAGACAGCAAAGCAACAAGCGCAAAAGGGAAGAGTGGCAAGAGTGGCAGCAAGCAGCCCCTTTCCTTTACATATGCAAACTATCTGCCCCAGGTCAGGTGTAGCACTCACACCCATAATCCCAGCATTGGACCATGGATCAATCATAAACTGTAAAAGCGCGCCCCATGACTGCATGAGGCTTTGCAGGGACATCTAAACACAAACCATAACAGATACATTTGTAAGTAAGAGAAAAAATGAGGACAGATCTAAATTTGTGGTACTATTCATGTAGGCAACCCAGAAATGTAATTATGTCTCATCACTCTAGCTTTCAGACCTTTATGGAATATAAATTATAAATGTAAAACTATTGCCACTAAAATTCAGAGAAATACATTTTATTGATGATTAGTAGTGTGGAAGCCTAGTGTCATTATATATGTAGTTTTCTTTCTTTTTTTTTTTTTTTCTGGTCTTTTTGAGACAGGGTCTCACTATGCAGTTCAGGCTGGCCTTGAGCTCACTTTGTAGTCCAGGTTGGTCTCAAACTCACAATGATCCTCCTGCCTCAGCCTCCCGAGTGCTGGGATTACAGGCGTGAGCCACCACGCCCAGCTATATGTGTAGTTTTTATAATGCAAAGAAAATCAAGAGTTTACTATAATGAAGTAAACATATTCCTGGATTATGTGCCCATTTGTACGGTCAGTTCACAGCTTTGTACCTGTGATTACACTACGGTGACTTGAATAAACATACAGATGTGTTTCCTCGGGTCCTGTGAGCCACTCAAGAGAATGAACCCAAGGAGAGGACTGAGGAAACCTCTGTTTGTAGTCAGTCAACTAGAAGCCCAGGTAAAACACCCTGGAACTTCAGTCTAGACTTTTTTTTTTTTTTTTTTTTAAAGAAAGGGCCTAGCTGTAGAGTTCAGGCTGATCTTGAACTTACTGTATAACCCAGGGTACCCTCAAGGTGCTTTTCCTGTCTAGGTCTTGTGAGTGCTGGGATACAGGCGCACCACCATGCCCGGCTCAGTCTGGACATTTGTGTCTTGCTGTATACTGGTGATACTAGTGAAGTAATTATTCTAATCCTCTTAGAAGCTTTGAGGACAGTACTTACGAAAGTGAAATGTAGAAGTGTGTTTGGTGTGTGAGTGGTGTATGTTTTTAAGGATATGAAGACTAAAAACAGAACTCTTCTTCCTCTGCTCTCACACCGCAGTAACACACATCAGATTTCTGTTACCCAGTAGGTGTAGAGATTGGTTCCCATCAGCAAGCAAGTATTCTGCAGTGGTGGGTACTGTCTAGATGTCCTAATCCAGTTCAGTTGTGACACCGTCTGCCTGGCGTTGGCCTCCAGTTCCACAAGTTGAGGGCACAGTCCCCAAGACTTCCCCTCTTCCACCCTTCAGATGTCTTTTATAAGATCCAGGGTGTTTTACCTGTGCTTCTAGTTGGCTGCCTACAAACAAAGGTTTCCACAGTTCTTTCCTTGGGTTTGTTCTCCTGAGTGGCTCACAGGACCCAAGAAAACACATCTGTGGGTTATTTCTTTTTTTGTTTGTTTTGTTTTGTTTTCCGGTACCAGGAATTGAACTCACGACCTTGTGCTTCTCCAGGCAGACACTATGCCGCTGAGCTAAATCCCCAGCCCCACTTGTGGGTTTATTCAAAGGATATTCCAAGGGTGCAGGGCTTTGATGTCGTCTCTAGCCACACTACCCTCCAGAAACCTCCTTGCCTCTGGCTATCTGGAAACTGAGCCTTGTCCTTTTGAGTTTTTATGGAGACTTCATTGCAGATTAATGATTGAAGCATGGATAACTATGTAGAAATGTGATGAAACAAAAATTGTATTATCTATTTGGATGTGGTGGCATACATCTGTGATCCCACCTACCCAGGAGGCTGAGGCAGGAGGATTGCAAGTTCAAGGTCAGCCTGAGGAAGTTAGTGAGAGCTTGTGTCAAAGTAGAAAGGATGTAGAATTCCCATGAGTTCCATTTCCAGTGCCACAGAAACAAAACCCTTGTGTGATCTGTTGCTAACAAGACAGTGGGGAAACTTAACAAGGCCTATCTAGTCAGATTCTCTGTGGAGCATGCCTCCACAGAGGAACAGGTAGAAAAGGATGGTAGGAGAAGATCAGAGAGACTTTGCTGTGTGAGGCCTGAAGTGCCCAATGTCTCATCACTTAGGAATTAACAAGGGAGTTATGAGCCATGAACATGGGCAAAAGCCAAAATGTATATCAGTGTTTCATAGAGACTCATATGGATCATCACATACAGCACTAGCACGAGGTCATCGTGACGTTTCTTGTTGGGACTTCAAGGGGAGTTCTGGTAGGGATGAATGTTACATTTACGATTTTTAGTTTCTTGACTCAGTCCACATCAAAAGCTAGATCAAACGTTGAGGTTTTGAAAGCTTTCATTTAGGACTGCTTAGTACAGAAGTAGCGTGTGCCTGTCAGTAACCTTTTGGATTGCTCAATTGCTGCCAGTGCCTGGTGATGGTACGAGTCATGGAGAGCAGCAGTGAGTAGCCTCGTTTCTGGTGAAGTTCTGGACAAATTAAATGAAGAGCTTTAGCCCAGTTGGTTAAACTTGGCTTTAACCCCATTATATCTTTCTGCTCGGTAGTGATGAAGAACAACCAGCAGAAACTTTTGTTTTGGGTCACGAACATTACTAGAAGAAAGCATTTAATATTAGAAACTCGTGTGTTCCCTCCCTTGCTGTGGTTTGCAGCCTACTGAGCTTATGTTAGCACGTGAATAAGTAATCCAGATGGCTAAACTGTTGGAAGATATAAAACCAAAGCCTGTTTCAGGAAGCTCTCCACTTTGCTCATCTTTGGATAGGATCCATTCTTACTGGAAGTGACTTTCTCGATTGTTTTTAAAATTTAATTTTTAACTGCATTTTTTTTAAAATTCTTGCCTAGGTTACAAAACATCCTCCTATGCATAAGACCTACACACCACATGTCCTGCAGGAACTAATCAATGGTTTTTCATCTCCTGGAGATACATTAGAAACATAAATATGGTGCCAGAAGAACTCCTCATCTTTCTCTGACTGCGGTTTATTGGACACACTTTGGTGCTGAAGGGAGGTGTACACACTGTGGCTACTGGTACAGAGACTGTCGTGTAGGATCATGGACCATCCTAGCAGGGAAAAGGATGAAAGACAACGGACCACTAAATCCGTGGCACAAAGGAGTGCACACTGCTCCCGACCGCCTGGCTCCTCGACATCCTCTGGGGTTCTGATGGTGGGACCCAACTTCAGGGTTGGCAAGAAAATTGGGTGCGGGAACTTCGGAGAGCTTCGATTAGGTAAGGACTTGGTTATGTCAGTGACTTCGGTTTACAGCAGTAATTGCCGTAATAAGCTTTGATATGTTTCAAAATAAGCAGTTTATAGTTTTATGGGAAGTTTCCCTTTAAGTGGACCCTGTTGGTATAAGAAATAAGGGATGTATGAAGGAGACTGTAGTTATTATCAGTCATAATTTTATTCTTCAAGGTTAATCTGTATGTGTGATAAGCTTTTAAATTTTCCACTAGTCCTATGGTTTTATGATGTAGGTAGATCCAGGTACATGTATCAGTAAAATCTAGATTCTGATTTAGTAGGTTCAAGTAAAGCCCCAGTTTTTTTTGTATGTTGTTTGTTTTGTTCTTGTATTTGTTTTTATTTTTTTCAGACAGGGTCTTGCTATGTAGTCCAGGCTGGCCTTGAACTCATGATGATCCTTCTGCCTCAGCCTTCTAGGTGATAGGGATACACCACCATGTCTGGCCCCAGATTCACCTTCTAAACAGTTCCCACATGATGCAGATGCTTTTGTCTCTTGAATGACACTTTTTTGTTTGTCTCTTTGTTCTTTTTGAGACAAGATCTCTCTATGCAGTTCAGGCTTGCCTTGAGTTCACTTTGTAGCCCAGGCTAGTCATGAACTTGCAGTGATCCTCCTGCCTCAGCTTCCTGAGTGTTGGGGTTACAGGTGTGCACTACCATGTGTAGTTCTTTTTTTTTTTTTTTTTTTTTTTTTTTTTTTTGGTTTTTCTCCGGTACCGAGAACCGAACTCACGACCTTGCGCTTGCCAGGCAGGTGCTTTTGCCGCTGAGCTAAATCCCCAGCCCCTCCATGTGTAGTTCTTGAATGACTTTAAGAAAGGAGTAAATCCTTGCTTTAAATTCAGTCGCTGCCCTAGAAAATAGAAGAGTAGATTCTTATTGTGTAATACCCAGACTTAACCCATGTCCTGCTCAGAGAGATTTTTACAGTTGGTACTCTTTCCTGAAGTTTTCAACATTAGGATTGAATCAGAACTCCGTGGAGAAATTCTGCAGTTTTATTTTGTAACCAGTGACATGCATTTTCTATTTTAAGTATGAATTTATGCATGAGATGATGAATAATGACAGAATTAACCAATTTAAAGCAAAGGGACTGAGAAACTCATTGGGTATTTATATACTTTGTAACGAGGTGAAGGGAGAAGAGAAAATGAAAGACCTTAAAAATAAGTCTATTTGGAGAATTGGAAGAGGTTCCCTGGTAGGCTGAAGTGTTTTTCTTTTCTTCATAGCTTGAGGCTGTGAAGACGCCTGTGGGAAGGTTTGGCCTTTGGTGAAGTGGGAGGGTGAGAACATGGGGTCATTTTTGTTTGTTACTTTTGCTGGTTCTGAGGATCCTTCAAAAAAGAAGGAAAAATCTTAAGTCTAATGCTCTGCAGTGATCCTCAGGGAAAAACACTACTAGCCAGAGATCTCACCACAGAATTGAATTCAGGAGCGTTAAGAATGAATTTATCTTTGCCGGGAGAGGCTAGCAACCTGGAATTTCAGGACCTGATACTAGGATAATGAAAGGGTCTTTATATTTAGAAATGTGTTCATGTTCCGGTTAGCAAAGCCAGCAGATGCTACGGAGAATAGGAGTAAGATTTGTAATTTCACGGGGCTTGACTTCCTAGCAACTACTCAGTTGCTTTAGCAACTGGTTTCAAGAATATTCATTTATGGAATGGATTGACTTTGTCTTAACATCACAGTACAACTTGCATTAAATAGATTGTGGCATAAACATCCACAGCATTGGTGCTGAAAGACAGTTTCTGATGCATGTAAATTTGTGCATGTTTATAACATCAGAAGGTTGTTTAATTTCTGTGACAATGAAGAAAGACATTGGCCAGTGAAACTGGAAATTTGCTTAATTGCCGAGGTCCAGATTTGTAATGCCAAATTTACATGAGAATGAGGAAAAATAATTACTTCATTTAAAGCGTAATGTTCTGGCCCATACGTACTTTAGGAACATGTTATTTTACTTCTTCTAATGAATCCAGGATCATTTTCATATTTCTCATGTTGACTTGTAATTAGCAGAAAAGGCTTATCTTTTTTATGTGGCAGTTTTATTCTTGTGTATGTTTCATTAGCTCCAGGACAGTATTGTTCCAGTATTATATCTAGTAATACTTTCTTTTTTTTTTTTTTTTTCTTTTGAGACAGGGTCTTGCTGTGCGGCTCAGGCTGGCCTTGAGCTCACTTTGTAGCCCAGGTTGGTCTCAAACTCGCAATGATCCTCCTGCCTCAGCCTCCCTAGTGCTGGGACCCCATGTGCCACCATTCCCTCCTAATATCTAGTAATACTTTCTACTGGGAGAAACCAAGAAAGGTACTTTCAGAATCACTTAGCATCTGCCTAACAAGAGTGTAGGCTGTGTACCCCTTCTATCAGTGTCTTATCCTATTATGAGTAAGTAGAAGACTGCAGACAACAGACGCAAACTAGGGAATGCCCAGCTGAAGCAGGTGCAGTGAGGCATCCATGCAGGCCACAAAGTAGGCTACAAAGCCTGCTTCTCCTTTTCTAGCCATACTGTCTTTCAGATAGCTAAATGCATTTCTTTTTTCTTTTTTTTTTTTTTTTGAGACAAGATCTTGTTATATAGTCCAGTCTGGCTTTGAATATATTATGTAGTCTAGACTGTCCCTGAACTTGTTTTATTGCTCAGGCTGGCCTTGAACTTGTGGTGATCCTCCTGCCTCAGCCTTCTGAGTCCTGGAATTTCAGGCATGCACCAGCATGCCTAGCCCAGATGTATTTCTGCTTTAGTTCCTCCTGCCTGCAGATTTCTTTCTCTAAAATTGTGGACAACCAGTTGTTTCTTATTCTTTAGGCTTCAGCTTCTTACCACCTCAGAAAAATTTTACATGACTTCTTCATTTAAAGTAGCACATTTCTTCTGTATCAGATCTGTCCTATCAAACTGTTTTTTCAAATTCATATTGATCACTGTCTGTAGTAATGTTGTGCATTTGTTTACCTGTTACTGCCTCTCTTTACTTGAATAAAAGTCTTTTAGAGGGTAAGGATTCTGTCTGTATTGTCTGGTGTTATATGATGGGGTAAACGGATAGGTAAGTAAAAATTAAACAATAAGCTCCTTTAGGTTCCACGTATGTGAAGGTGGTGGTAGGTAATAATAACAGTAATAATAATGTAATTAATAGTGTATTTTGGTTCTCTGCAAATCTGTTGCCACCTCTATCCATTTAACAACCATTTCTTTTCTTTTTTTTTATACTAAGTATTTTATTGTATGTTGGCACCAGTGTATATAAAATACCCTCGGGAAACAGAAACTCATGAAAATTCAGAGAAGTAGATGTTAAGGACTGACAAAAGTAAGAGTTTGTGTGTTATGGCACATGTTAAGAAACGGGAAGTTTCTGTACAGGCTTCAGTTTTCTTTTTTCTGAATAGTCATTGGTTGGTTAAAAAGTGGTCTGGGAAACTCTCAAAAATTCTTTTGACTACAAAAAGGAACAGACTTTCTGCGGTCTGAAGGGATTTGTACTTGAGGATAGTCCAGTCAGCAGAGGATCGTGCTGAGCGTTCCGCATGCAGCACTGTTTCAAGTCTGCAGCTGCCTGGGAAACCTTCACGCGGTTGAGCCCGGCCTCCAGCCGGAGCTGCTGAACCACTTCCTTTATGGTGCCGACGCTCGAAGCGCCAGACAGTGCACTCGAGGGCCGGCCGACTCAAGGGCCAGGGGCAGTGGAGGGAAGAGGAGCTGGGCCTGCTGGCGAGGCTCGCGCCACGGGGGTGGGTGGGACTCTGAACCTTAACAGCCATTTCTTTATATATTTGCTAATCCTGGACTTTGGGATGATACAAAGAATAACGAAACATAGTTTTTGCTCTTAAGCTTACTACAGCCTAGTGGTAGAGAGAAGGAGAAAAACAACTGGCAACTCATAGTAATATGTATCATAGCTGGGCATGGTGGCACACACCTGTAATCCTAGCACTTGGGAGGCTGAAGCAGGATGATCACCGTGAGGCCAGTTGGGGCTTCGTAATGTGTTCAAGGCCAGCCTGCACTACATAGAAACCCTGTCTCCAAAAAAAAAGTATATATTACAATAGATTGTATAAAAACTGTATTGGATGCCAGACATGGTAGTGCATACCTGTAATCCCAGCACTTGGGAGGCTGAGGCAGGGAGGCAGGAGGATCGTTGCAAGTTCAAGGCCAGCCTGGGCTACAAAGTGAGTTCAAGGCCAGCCTCAACTGCACAGTGAGACCCTGTCTCAAAAACACACCAAAAAAAAAACTATATTGGAGCTGTGGGTAATGGTGCACACCTGTAATCTCAGCACTCTGGAAGGCTGATGCAGGAGAATTCAAATTTGAGCTCAGCCTGGGCAACTCAGAGACTTAGCAAGACTGTCCCAAAATTTAAAAAAAATTAAAAGGGATAGGGATATAGCTCAGTGCAAAAGTCATTGGTTTAGTCCTCAGTAGTAAAAACAATAACAGAAACACCTATATTGGTGGAGAAGAATTCAGAGGTGTCACTGACTAGATGGATATCTTCTGGTGGGCAGAAGAAAGAAAGGCCCTCTCTAAGCTCTAGGTATAGTGAAAGTGCTAGCATATTATCAGAGCAGGAACGAGGTATCATGCCTCCATCATGGGATGTGAGATGAAAGAAAAGTAATAGATGAGCTCTTAAGTAGGTTGGGACCAGAGTGTGCAGTGTTTGCATGGTAGAAAGTGTTTGGATGTATCTGTACGCAGTCATCAGGGGTTTTACAGCAGAGTGACATGATCTACTTTGTATTCCGGATGGCTCAGGTATCAGATCGTACGGGAAAGAAGGTGGTGGTCTGTAGATTTTGTTCTAATTCTATTTGGTTCTGCCACCTCTGTGCTCCAAATTATGGTGGAAGGCAGCACTTTACTTTATAAATCTTCATATCCCCAGTGCCTTTCACTGGGTATGAAAGATATATAATGGGTACTCCAGAAAT